GGGGGTGCCCTCTCTCTCGCTGTGCATGTAAGCTTACGTCTCGAACCGCACCCCCCAAAAATGTGGGGCTTTATCTTCACCGGATATTTACTCTCCTCGACCTTCCTTCGAACCTGTCCGATGTCTAAACCCCTTTAGGGCTGGATCGCCTTTTGGGGACACTTTTTGTCCCCATCTTCTTCACCTGCTTTACCTCGCGAAGATTGGCATAATTGTCTCCTCCTTTGCACTACTCGACCAGGGAGAAAGCTGCTTAACGGTATTATATCGGACCACCAGTGGTTGCAGAGATATGCTCGGAAACGGGAGATCGGCAGCATGTCAGGAATGGCAATCCTCTCGTAACTCCGTCCACACAGGTCCAATTGACCCCAAACCTTTTTCATCGTGTTCCAACGATCCATACATTTCGTACAAGCTATCGGAAACCCTCATCATCTGATACGTTCGTGAAGATTTATGGTCAACAGAGGGGGGTCAGCAGCACCGGGGGGGGGGGGGGGGGGCGTACTCTTATGTTTTGCATGTCTTAGCGGTTAGACCACTGACCACGCGTCCTCGAGAGGACGGAGCATTGTTCCCACAGGACTGATCACCGATGGCCAATCGTTCCTTCCTGCTTTGCCAAAGGTGGCTCAAAAATGTCTTCCCGAGTCTGTCTATCCTAACGATATCCCTTCCCGCCGTTTCAAACCACTTCCTACTCCCCAGTACAGCTACCGTCCTCTCCTCTCTATTCCATGCCTCAAACATCTCCCTGTACCTCCCTTCTATTTTTCCCAGCTCGGTCATGTACACTTCCCTCTCCTCTTCGTACCACGGACATTCCGCGACTACATGAACACGGTCTTCGCACTCGAAGCCGCAATCACATTTGAACTTGTCGTCTTCGTCGTCTACCGTCCTATGTCTTCGTCGACGTTCTCGAAGGCCTATGTCCCCGGTCCTGAATTTGACCTTAAGCTTTGTCCCTGCATCCATTGGTCCATGTAGGTAGTCCTTGAACCCTATTCCTTCTTTCAACATTCCGTACACTTCTAGACCCTCCTTATCCTTGGTTTCTTTCCTTAGATTCCGTTCTTCTCTCTCGGCACAAGCAATACATAGATATCTTCTCCTTGAACCCCTGTAGACCCTCCGTTTCCAGCGTTTCATCTTCGACGATGTCTAACCCCTTCCACACGTCCTCTACAACCTTGATCCATTCCGTGGGTTGTCTACCCCTCTTTTTGTTTGCCCACTTCGCCTCCCATACTATTCTCGGCAACCTCTCCTCTCCCATCCCGCACATGCGATACTGCCATGTCAGCTTCCTTGCGTCTCTTCCCGACCGTAGGAATTTGATCCACAATTCTGCCCTAACGTCAGCAGCACCGGGGGGGGAGGGGGGGGTACTCATAGTCGTGCATGCCGTAGTCGTTAGACCATTGACCTCGCATCCCTACAAAGCCGGGACGGAGCACGCCGGGTTCTCACCGGACCAGGCTCTCACATCACCAAGCGCGAAGCGCCGTGAGGTATTTGGCGAGTCGCATGAAGGGTGAGCTGCATCCTGCTAAGGGTGTTCGGCATCTTGTGCTTACTTCCTTGCGTACGGATGACAGCTACGTATGACTTAATTTATTTTCTGGTGCTTTCACTTCCAGAGACAGTTGTAAGCACTGTGTAACTGCCTCGAGGAAGCTTTACCATTTTAACACAACGTGGTGCGATCATCCCCCGTTGCGCGGAGTGAGGTTTCTCGGCCCCGCACAACATGATCTACTCGACCACCATTATGGTTACCGCCAAAAAAAAAACGAGGTAAAATAAAAAACGGTAACCTGGTTGCCGAGTTCACGAAGTGAATTGGCTTGTTTTACAACGTCGTTGCCAAGCGACGAAAACCCAATCCCGATGATGGCAAACACCGAGTGGGGGGCTTGTTTTACAACGTCGTTGCCAAGCGACGAAAACCCAACCCCGATGGCAAACACCGGGGTGGGGGGGGTGTACTCATAGTCGTGCATGCCGTAGTCGTTTGACCATTGACCTCGCATCCCTACAAAGCCGGGACGGAGCACGCCGGGTTCTCACCGGACCAGGCTCTCACATCACCAAGCGCGAAGCGCCGTGAGGTATTTGGCGAGTCGCATGAAGGGTGAGCTGCATCCTGCTAAGGGTGTTCGGCATCTTGTGCTTACTTCCTTGCGTACGGATGACAGCTACGTATGACTTAATTTATTTTCTGGTGCTTTTACTTCCAGAGACAGTTGTAAGCACTGTGTAACTGCCTCGAGGAAGCTTTACCATTTTAACACAACGTGGTGCGATCATCCCCCGTTGCGCGGAGTGAGGTTTCTCGACCCCGCACAACATGATCTACTCGACCACCATTATGGTTACCGCCAAAAAGAAAACCGAGGTAAAAAAAAAAACCGGTAATCTGGTTGCCGAGTTCACGAAGTGAATTGGCTTGTTTTACAACGTCGTTGCCAATCGACGAAAACCCAATCCCGATGGCAAACACCGAGTGGGGGGGGGGGGTAAATGGCATTGTAGTCCCTCTGTACCTCCCGTCACATAGATAGCTGAACTTCCCCCAAACCTGAACGTACCGTGTTTGGCACGGCTCGCAGCTATCATAATGATACAAGCCATCGGGCACCCCAATCGGACTACTACAAGTGGGTGCAGAGAAACGCCCACTCACGGGACTCGGTGGCTCAAAGGTCGGTGGAGAAGATAGGCCATATCTGCTCCACCAGGCCAGACTCTATCTACAGGGCGTCGTTTGCCCTACGAAGACTTGAATTGTGTTGGCACGGCTTACAGGTACCATAGAAGCCACCGAGGTCGTCAATCAGATCGGTAACTTTGCAGTCCACCCACGGGGGCTCGGTGGCTCAAAGACCTGTGGACCAGATAATAGGGGGGGTGTCAATACAATACATACGGTGCAGCAGCCATTACAATACATTTTACAATACACGACACAACGGTGGGATTCTCCCCGATATTTTGTCGTTGACCCAGTAGAGAACTACAGGGGGATGTATTGTAAAATGTAAGTTACCTTGCAGATGTTTTTGTACTTAGCACCAGCTGGCATCACTGGTTGGTATAGTCTAAATCATTAATTAGTGAATAGACTTAAAAGACTCGAAATAAGTCAAATACCCAGCCGGTTTTCCTCCACTCACTGAAAATACTCCACCACATCCCGTTCGACTGTGGGTATATTATCTCGAATGGGTAGTCTTTCTGTGTGTGTACCTATTTATTATTCCTTAATACATACTGTACGGTGCAGTCAGCTGTTATTCTCCGTTTCGTTTTTTCCGTTTTCATCTAGACTACAACAGGAGACGATCGCCGCGAAGCTTTTTTCATTTGGGAGCGCACCCCTGCTATCTGAATGTCTGTCTGCGTAGCTGTCCCTCTCCCTCTCCCTCTCCCTCTCCCTCTCGCCCCCGGGGCCCCCCGTCTCTCTCTCTCTCTCTCTCGGCCAAAAGGTTGTTTATAGTCATAGTCTTTGCTCTCGGCCAGGGGCGCGCGGCTACCGCAGCTAACTCCTCGCACAGCTGCAAGCCCGGCGGCAAGACTCTCAGTTCCGGTTCTAGTTGTCCCGAATCAAACCAACCCATTCTTGCATCGGGTATTGATGGGGACCACTGCAGATAACATTCAGGATCACGCATGAGCGGGCATCAAAGGTGGCAATATCAGTGCATCAGTGCACTCCAGAAACATGTTGGAGGAACAAACGGTGGTCTGCGGCGCGATGTGGAGAACCCGAGGAACGTTGCCAAGAAGTGTCCGCGGTCTCCTCGGTTGGTCTTTCTCGACAGTCCCGCGAATCATGGAAACACTCGGAGAGTGTAGATTGTAGATTCCCTGCTTGTTGTCTTTTTCAAAATTGGCTCGCTTTCCGCCCTCACGCCCTCACGCGCTCACTCGCAGCTCAACCGTCGTGTTGCTCAGAAACACCAAGCAAGGAAACCACGGATCGACCGAACGTATCTAGGATGGCCGCCTCAGCTCGAAGCGCTTCCGGCATGGATGAAAGTAATCACATAACCATCTCACCGGCGACTTCCAACAAGCACCCGGACTTCGTAGACCTTTTCGAAAGGGTCT